AGCAGGTTCATGATTAGGAGAGTCTTGCTTGTACGTTCTGCACTTAATATCACAATCTTGGTAAGGTATACCTAAATGCTCTATTATACATATAAGTGGAATGGTTTGATCATAAAATGCTGTTTGTTTAACTGTTAATGCAATGAAAAATTGGTCAGCCTGAACAGTAATAGTAACTGAATAAGTTACATATGTAGTTTTTTTAGATTCACACATGAATATCACATGTTAATTTATTGATATATTAGTATAATTGGAGAGCTTTGCATGTTGTTGTTGCTGTTTTTTTTTTTTTTTTTAGTTTAAAAGTTGTGTTGTTTAAAATTTGGTTGTATAAAGGCTTAATGCTCACATATACCTTCAACCTTTTATACAAAATGAATTTAAGCTCTTAACATTTTATTACATGCAAATCAGTATATATTCTTTTATTTTTATGTAGCTGAATCCACATACTTTCAAAATTAATGTAATTCAGTAAATTTTAAACTAACCACTGTTAGTATTAAACACATATCATCCAACGTGGATGATGATGTGTAATAATTAGTCCACGTTGATAGATTACATGGCATTTTGGTTGAAGTAAGAAAAAATTGTAAAAAAAAATGTTTAGTTAAAAAGAGTGGCTTGGTTAAAAAAGAAATCGAGAAGTAAAAGTTAAAAATTTGAAAAACAAAAGAAAAAAATTAATCGGTATTGCTATTGGGGAAAGAGAAGTTCTCACTGTGATTTAGAGATTCAGGATTCGGGTTTGGTTTGAAGGATCAAGGAATTTAGAACAAGTTTTTTCTTTCATTTAAGAGTTTTGTGATGTCAAAACAACAGTATCTTTTGAGAAAACAAAGAATCTATATGTTTTAATTTAGGGGTTAGGTTGATTTAGAGTTATTTGAAGAAAAGATTTTAGTGATTTAAGGTTTTTTTTTTGGTGATTTAGGATTTTTTTTTGGAGATTTAGGGTTTCAAAGGTTTTCGATGTAAGGGTTTAGGTGAGTAAGAGTTTTGGGTTTGTGATATTTAGGGTTTGTAGAAAAAGATTTTGATTGATTTAGGTTTTTTGAATTGTGAATCTAGACTGAGTTGGAGTTTTTTGAAGTGTTGTAATTTAGGGTTTTGTGAAATTAGTGTTATTGAAACTTGTGCAAAATGTGTGTGAAACATGTGCTAATGTTGGAAAGATTTCTGGGTATTGCTAGAAAGGTAAAGGTTTACTATGAAAAGTGATTGAGTCAAACGCTTTTGTATATAAATTATATTTTTGTTGATTTAGCTTTTATATTGTGAAAATTCATGACTAATTTTATATTGAAGAAATTTTTTATGTGCTACATTAGTTTAGCCATTTGTAGTTGAAAAGGAAAACATCATTTTGGTAGAGAAAGTGCTACTACAGGAACAAATTGTGCAAATCCTGATTTAGAAGAGGCAAAAATTGTTATTAAAATTGTCTTTCTTATAGTATTTTCCAATTTTATATCTATTTATGTTAGTTGCAAGACTAGCCCAAAGATAGTTAAGTAGTGTTCAAATAGTACTTCATATGAATAAAGAAATAATGTTATGATTAGATTTCTCTTTTATTTGGTTGGATTAAATTTGTTTTTTATTTGATAGATAAAGATAAGGTTTTCTTATTTTGTACCAAAAATTGGGATGTCTAAATTCTATAGATGGTTTGGACATTTCATGCCTCTATTGGTATATTTTTAGCTTATGTGGTGGTTTGTGCCTCTTACATGACTATTAGATGATCTTTCTAGTCTAATTTTATATAGCCTTACATCTTGTCAACAACATGCATTACAAGACGTAGAGGGAAAAGAAAGCAATAAAATAGGGCACCATACCTATTTGGCATTGGTTTATATACTGACTTAGACATTGAAAAGTCAATTTTAAATGTAAGCATATTAAACTTTTCAAATTGATAGATGTTTGTGTTTTTAAAAATAAACTAATTTCTTACCTTTTTTTTTTAATCTATTTTTCCTATATAGCTTGGGACACCAAGTAAAATGCCCAACACAAGTGGGGGACTATATGCTAACAACAAGAAAAATTGAACATGATTGTTTATGTTCAATATTTGTTAATGCCATGACTTTTTTTGTTTCATGTATTTTTTGTTGAATTTTTTATCTGGCAATCCAAATAGTTAATTGCCTTTTGACACATAATTGTAAGTTCATGGTTTAATACGGGTGTTGTATATGAATGTAAGTGAAATGAATTTTTTGGTTCCAGATTTTTATCTTTTTTTTTTGTTTTTTCTTTTTTATTTACATGTATGGACGGTGATATTTGCGATTTTCTCTTGTTTATTTATATTTATTTTTGTTGTATGATTCACAAGCAGGTCTAAATGGTGAAAGATATTACATGTTCTTTCTTTGTTTATTTATTTTTTTATTTTTGTTATATGATAGACGAGTAGGTTTGAAAGGTGAAAGATATTAGTTGTTTTTTTTCTTGTTTATTTTTGTTGTGTTGTAATTTTTATATCTAAGTGTAATTTTTATTTTTTAACTTTTTGCAAAATGCCATGTCAACAATCCATGTGGACACCTTTTACCATGTTATCATGCCAGTTGTCAAAGTTAATCTAATTTAATGAAATTTTACTTAATTACATTAATTTTGAAAGTTTGTAGATTTATTTACATAAAAATAAAATAATTTAGACTTATTTGCATGCAATAAAACGTTGGGAGCTTAAATCCATTTTGTATAAAAGGTTGAGGGTATATTTGAGTATTAAAACATTGTATAAATGATTATTGGAATTGTTTTCTATAGGAGTTGTTCAAGGTTTGTTGATTAATTTCAAGGTGAGTGGAAAGTTTAGTGTTCTATTTTGGTTGGATTTTTGTGATATTTGTTTTAAAGTATGGTTGGAGATAGTAAGTATTGTTAAGTTTGAGGTTATGTGATTTTGTTTTTGTATTTCTTTTTTACTGTGTGTGATTTTGTATATATTGAATTTGCCTTTTAGGTGAGTTGATCTCCCTTAATGAAGCAGCAAGATTGTTGCTTGGTGATGCCCACAAGACCTCAATTATGAGAAGTAATAAGTCTTAACTTTTCCTAATTGAGAAATAACTACAAAGAGATCAACTGATTGACTTATTTGTTGTTCATTTGATATTCACTAGCAAAAGTAAGGTGACTATATGACATTGCAAACGTGTTGTCTTCCATGAATCTTATTGAGAAGGTAAATAGATTGAGAAAACCAATGAAAGATTAGAACTTTAACTTTGATCTCAGCATCTTTGAAATTATTATTCTTATAAACTTAAGATATGGTGTTTTAAAGTGCTCAAAGGTAAATGAATATTATGTAAATACAAGGAAGCATGCACTTAGGTGGTTAGGGCTGAGAGGGAAATAAAAAAAATGATCTGCTGATGCTTTGGTTTTTCATGAGTCTAATAGAAGGGTGTTTCTAGCTGCTGTTACAAACATCAGTTTTAAGAGAAATAAGGTTGATTCTTCAAATGAAAGTAGATGCAGAAGCAAATAAAAATTGAAAATTTGATGACTATGACTGATAGAAGCAGTTTGGACGATTCAAAACAAGGTTCAAAGGGCTACCAATTTGGTCTATTTGCTCCTATAAACTTGACCAAGATTGGTAACTCTGAGAACAATATGAAGCGAGTTCAAGACCGGGAGACTCTTGCTTCCATGTTTCATCCTCAATATCACAATCAAGGTAAGGTATACTTTAATACTCTATTATACATATAAGTGGAATGGTTTGATAATAGAAATGCTTTTTGTTTAACTTCTAATGTGATGAAAAATTGGTCAGCTTGAATAGTAATAGTAACCGAATAAGTTACACAAACAGATTTTATAGATTCACATGTGAATATTGCATGCTAGCTTATTGATATATTATTTAATGTTTATAATTGTACTAATAAACCTGATAAAAACAATTGTACTAATAAACGAGAAAAATGATAAGGTAAAATATTTTCTATCAGTTCACATAAAATTTTGGTCAATAAAAATTTACAACCAGCTACTTGAGGTATAAATTTTATCTGGTCAGTTGCTTTCTACTTTTGGCCAGTTCAACACTTTTCTCAGTTTCTATGGTCTGTTGGTAATAGGGTATGTCTTGCTATCTTATGTCACTTGGAGCACTTAAGCACATCTGTGACCTGAAAGTTTTTACGTGCTAGATTCTGAATAGCAAAAGAGTAGTCTTTGTTGCATTTTTTATTAGCAAGCGGAAGAGCAGTTTTGGTTGCATTTTTCATTATGCTAATAAATTATTTTTATCATTGACCTTACTCTTTTATTTTACTGGAGGAGGATGAATTAATAATATATTACTTTAGGATGACAATTAACAATATTAGATGTTTGAAAATTTAAGCTTATTTACAAACGAAGTTCAATTACGAGGTATTGATGAATTCATACCAATTTGCTCTCATTTCTTTTATTAGTTTTAATCACTCTTCAAATCGAAGGGTTTTGAAAAACATATTGATATTTGTGTTAGTGCTCTAATAATAATAAAATATGTTTTAAGTAATCTCTTTAATTAAAAGTATATATAAATCTATTTATTTTATTTATTTAATATTAATTTAGTATAAAATTATTCTGTCTCGATGCAAAGCGAGATTTGCTTCCTATTAATTGAAATAATTTGTTTCATAAAAAAGGATTTATCCATCAACTTCCTGTCACAGGATTTTAGGAAACTTCAAATTGGATTTTAAGCATCTGGCCTCCAAATCCCATTCTCAAGTTTTGTCAGAAGATCTGCAGCAAATGTAAGGGACCAAATATCAAGCTTGAGAGAGAGAGAGGGAACAGCAAGGGCGTAAAAGAATACTAGCTTACTATTAGAGAAGCCAAATATATATGGGTATATTCAAACATCACTCTAAATATTGGCTTCCACCAAAGGCAATGGCAAACAAACATTTCACAAAGACAAAAAGGAAGGGGAAAAAATCCCCCCCCCCCCCCCCAAAATCACAACTTCCAAAACTACTCAGCATGACTTAGCCCTTGACACGGTATTATATGTGATAACAATAGTGCTACTTGGAGGCAAGATCGAAATAAATCTACATGCAAATTCACTTGGCCATGACATCATTTCATTTGCATCTCGGGCTACCCTTGCTCATATTTCTCCATTTATCCTTGAGGTCTACTGTAGTCCTACCACTCAGAAACACTTTAGCACCAAAGTCCAAAATTCTCTTCCATGGAACATTTCCACCATAATTTCCAAACTTCTGTACTCCCTTCTGCAAGAATAACATCAATGTTTTTCAAAATGTGAAGGACAAAGAAAAACATCGCCAGCTCAAATCTTTGAAAACTATACTGTGAAGAAAAAGATGAAACAAGATGCAGTTCCTTCAAGAAATCATAAGTAATACACTAAAAGCCACAGGCTTGGAAAATCTAAATGTTAATGTTGAGCCTGCTGGATTATTAAAATCTTCATCGGACCCACATGATATTGGAGGCATAAGAAAAATAAACATTCAAGACACATTTCTGAAACCAAAACTCCGACCACAAGGATTACACAATAATAGATCTACAAAACTATGAATATAATTTATATGACTTCCTCTACAAATAATTACCCTGAGCATCTCTTCTTCATCATTCGTCCACGGAACTTTCTTTCTCCTCAACTGTGGAGTTGCAGGGAATGAGCTACAAATAAGAATCACGTTAAGATTTAATTATCAATGAAATAAAAGGCTCCCTAATTTCTTCCAGAACAACTATTCACATTCCACAAAATAATAAAATTGATGACCAAAGCATATTAAAGATTTCAAAAAGATGCTTTACAAATGGAATAGAAATATCTATTCTTGAAGATGACATGAACATTACAGGAATAACAAGAATATTAATTTAAGCAAAGGGAACTTACTACTTTGTCTCACGTTTTCTGAACCTCATGGAGTAACTAGATATTATATACTTGTTGTTTGCATCCGTAGAAGATTCTTCTCCATCGCTGTTTAGAGAACAGCCAGGTTTTGCAGGTGCATCAGTAATCTGAGGCTCCACAGCTTCCTTCATAACATCTTCTTTAACTTCTACCTGAATTACGGGTACAGTTTTAGTGTTTTCACTGGTTGGATTATCATCATTGAATTTAAGGTTGGCAGGTAGTTCTTCCTCTTGGTGTTCACATTCTCTCATGGATTGGTGCCCAAGGACTAGTTTTTCTTCCTCTTCATTATTTTCACCTTGAACATCTACTGCCCCACCCATAAATGTATCTTCTTCTACACACAGTTTATTACCATTTAGATGTGATGCAGAAGGGCCATGATTAACTTCTCTATTTTGATTAATAAAATTGTGTTCACTCTCTCCTAGATGCCCACTCTCCTGAATTCCAACAAGGTCTTCATTACCATTTAATCTTGAATGACTCTGAAGCTTCCTCTGTTCCTCAGTAAGTTTTTTTGAACAAAACTCCATAAAAGCAGCTAGTTCCTTCCTCGCCAAGGAGGCTTTGTCCTTAGCTTCTAGGTACTTTGAGATGGAAACAGAATATGCACAGAATGGGCAATAAAAGTTGCCCTTTTCATCAAATCTTGCAGCAGAATCCAAGCAGCTCTCATGAACCACAAGTTGGCAACCGCTAGAACTGCAAATCAAAACCTGACCATTTTGATTACACTTCGCACAAATATTTTGTTCTGTCCAGCCAGCTTTTCGCACAAGATCTTGACTTGGTGTGCACAGAGAACTCAAGAAAAGGCTCTTCTTCAAGGCAATATTAAACCTCTCATCTTCATATTCACATATTTGTTCCACACAAGGATGATCCATGTCAGCTTTGGCCTCAACAAGATCAATATTTTGCTGTAATCCATCGGCAGAAGAGGAATTTGGGGAACTTAATGGAAAACCTTGATCAATATTTTCACCAGCATCACCACTGGCACCCCTTTGCAGTGCACCATTTTCAACATGATCGGATTCATTCATCACAACATTTTGGCAAGGTCTGTTTCCATACTTTCGCTCAGCCAATACATCAGCATTTTGAACATTCACCATCTGATTGTCCTGCAATTCTACATGACCAAAAGCATCACTCTGCCCAAGGGTCCTTGAGGGAACACACACATCTTGATCACCCTCACCTGCTTGAGAATCCTTTCCCAAGTTATTACCTTCTATTTCAGTAACTTTTATAATCCCTCCAGACAGATCTTCCAACTGTTCCTCACCATGCAAGCAAATTGGAATCTGTTCAACAGACTGAATAGTACAAGTCGCATCCTGCTTGAACTTCTTTGCATTCAAATGAAGATCATTATGCAAACTATTCTGATTAACACTGACAAGTCCCACCAAATTTCCAGCAACCAAGTCATTTCTACACCTCTTAGAGTGTATTGAATTTCTTTCAAGCAATCCATCTTGCAAGATCTCATTATCATTTTCATGAATTTGAGGAATCAAGTTACCCTCTTGATTACAATTTTCATCATCACTATCATCAGGTCTCAATGTAGGCACATTTTCATCACCTTCATGATCAGGAATCTCCTCCAAAATTGAACTTTTCAACTGTTCCAGAAAAAGGTCAATAAGGAATGATAAATAAATAAATAAGAACGTGAGTGCAAAAAAAAAAAAAAAAAGAAAGAATGAAGATTGATACCCATTATGCCATCATTGCAGCAGGAACAAAGAAATAAGAAATTCCTATTTTACCTGTTCTAATGCACATTTAGGTAGTGAGGCTCTTTTATGCATCATAAAGGGGTTAACATCCAATCTCAAAAGCTCTGCTCCAGCCTTTTTCAGATTTGAAAGTGGGACCTGATAAAGAAAGATACTGATAACTGACAATGTATAAATTCTGGCTAGCAAATTCTAATGAAAGAGAGGTGAAAAAAATAATAATTTCTTCCCAGACAACCAAATTCATAAAGCAATGCTGAAACTAGAATGTAATGTTTTGTATTTTACCTCCTGCAGTATGTGTTCGAGAACATCTTCACAGCTAGAAGAAAGATCAAAGGCAACTCTTGAATCAGGAGGAGCAACATTTTCGAGACCATTTTTAGGACCAAATACCTCCTCCAGACATCTTAAAGCAACCCTTTCACTCGTATTTTTCCCTAAGCCGTCTGGTGATACTGGAGCCGTTTCGATCAAATCTGAAAGAAGAGAGAAAAGGTAAAACGCCCAAAAAGTGAACAAACATCAAGAGATTTTTATTTGTCCATACCACGTATAACAGAAGTATCCATCTGGGGGAAGCTTGATAGGTATTCAATGATCCAAAGCCATGGACGGCTTGGACCAGAAGAATAAATGCCAAACATTCGACCTAGTTCGTCCATAAGAATGCCCAGTTCAGAGCAGGCACTTGATCTACCTATTATGAAAACACGAGTTTCGTAAGTTTGAAACGTTTTTAAAGAACGGAAAATCCGACAAACAATAAAACAAACATAAAAAGCAAAATGATGGCATCATTCAAGCACTGTTTTTGACAACATCTAGTTTATTATACAATCTCATGCACAGAAATGAGCAAGGAAACGTAAATTTCTCAAGAAATGAAGCAAGAATTTAGCAACAAAGAAAACATATTAACTGATTAATAAAAGACCAAAAAACACAAAAAGAAAAAACCCTCAGCTAGGAATACTAAGTGGATAGATTTCAAGAAAAATCCTTCAATAAACTCATGATAGAGTAATACTTTGCCGTGGGTAAAATTAACTGAAAAGACGAAAAATCAAAATCAAATCCACTTTTTTAATTAAAAAAAATTGTCCCTTGAACTAAGAAATGTAAGTAAACCCTAGAAAATACCGCATACAGAAAATAAAATTACTAGATGAATACTTAAATCAGAAAAAATAATAAAAAAAAAGAGAAGACGAAACATTAAAAAAAAAAAAATCAAAGGTCGGGTTTGGGTGAGATCATAAAGAGTGAATAAACAAAAATAAATAAATAAATAAGTAGAAAGCAGTAGCGAACAATTAGGGTAACTATAAAGAGATTGGGAAGAGAAAGTTTAGTACCTTAAAAATGGCTTAAAACTCTTTAACAAAATTCTCAACAACAGAAATGAGAAATTTATTTTTTATTTTTATTTTTTTTGAAGATCTTTATGGAAAACGATGACATATATAGTTTTTCTTTTTCATGGGAAAAAGGAGCAGAGCGGGAAAAAAAGGAGGTGGTACTGGGAGGCTTGAGGCTGAGTTTGCTTAGTATTTGGGTTTGTTCGGCTTCTCTAATTAGGATCAGAATTTTTGTGGCCTAAACTGCTAGGCTTTTATCCAAATCCTTTGTTCATTTTTTTATATTTAAGAATAGTCTTTGTGTCACATGTGTTGCATGTGAATTATTTTGTATTTTTAAATAATTTATGTTTAATAAATTTTATCATTGAATTCTCTTCGATAATTTTTTATGTTAATTTTTTTTGTGAATAAATTGCGTGCAATTAGTGCAATATGTTTTAGTGGTAAAAGAAAATAAACTAATTCAAGTTGGAAGTGGATCCCAAATATTTATAGTTTGTTTGATATATTCAAATTCTGACTTAGATCGTCACAATTAACGTGCAAAAAAAATTTATTGAAAATATTTAAAACATAGATAATTTAAGGATTATAAAAGCAAGAAAATTCAAATCATAATTAGAATTTTTTTAAAAAAATTATGTTCCAAAGCTGCATGTATTGAAGATCAATGCTTTGCACTCTTCAATCTTGTTGCTTTTCAATCTTGTTTGCTTTAGTTTCTGTAAATTGATTGAAGTAAATTATTTTTTTATTTAAAATTGTTAAAATTTGATCTTGATAATTGAAACTAAAAATTCAATAAAAGAGTTTTACTAAGAAAGCATTAAAAAATAATACCATTCTTATTTGGTGATCGCCATAGCAAAACAAGAACACGTGGGGAACTGTTTTTGCTTAAATTAAATACGTATTCTTGCAAGAATGACTTCTTTTCCATTATGTTGACTAATTATTATCTCAAAATGTATTACATTATCCCAAAATGTTTGCATACCATTATTGTTTCTTTGCACAAACCATTGATGGATCCAAATTTTTTAAAAGTTTGATCGGACAATTAAGTTTTAAGATCAATAAAATAATATAATCACATTGGTGAACAGAGTTCTTTGCAGGACATTTCATCGTATCTATCATATAGAACATAAAAATTTCATAAGTATTTAAATAGCACAAAAAAATCAACATATATAATATTAGTTTAGTATTAAAATATTAGATGAAATGAGCAAACAATATAAAAATAAGCATATCAAAATATTATAGTTAAAATAGGCCAAATCAAGTATTATATTTAATGGTACATATATTGACCACATCAAATAATGTTATATATAGCATTGAAATTTATACTTAATATATCAATCATCGCTATAATAAACAAACTCATGAGTTTCATCATCATCATTTTTTTGTTCTTTTGCTTGAATCGTTTATTCATAATCTATCTCTTCATAATCACTAACAACAAAAATTGTAGGATTATCAAATTATTCTAAGATAGTAACATTTCGTAGAATAAAAACTTCAATTTTTTAATACACATCTTCATTTAAATTAGCTATTTGTTCTTCATCTCCATCGTTATTACTTACCCAATATGTATTCCTGGCTTTTATTTTAAAAACTGCCCCCCAATTATTTTGATCTCTTCTTTTAGAAAGATAGCTTGTATAGAAAACTTGATGTATTTATGAAGCTAAGACAAATGGTTCTTGCTAGTAAGTACTAAATTGTATTTAATTTCAACAAGACCATGATAGGGATCAACCTTTACCATTTTTTCTATGTCAAACTAATGACATTTAAAAAGTACAACTTTATTTTTTGCTCCAAAATACTCTAACTCAATTATATCTTCTAAGATACCATAAAAGTCATGCCTGTATTCATTATAACAACTTCCTTTCACACATATCTTATAATTCATCATTTTTTGACATTAGCTATAGTAAACTATATGAAACTTAAAACCATTCACAAAGTAACCTTTAAAACACATAACCATGCGTCCGGGGCCATAAGCATCTCAACTAGACAATGATCAATTTTGCCATTTTAATCTTCAACCATTCAATCATAAAACATTCAAATTGATCATTGTTTTTAATTATATGAAAATATTATTTTATTCATGTATGGTATTATGCTCTAAACTAACAAATTGTCTTAACCATTACGGAAGTCTTGCATCACATGCTTTCTCCATCTCTACATCACTTATATTCACAAATTCCCTTCTCATTGAGTCATCAAATATCCTATCATTGTAAATTATGAATTAAAAAAATTTTAAAAACTAACTAGAAACAATACATTATCATGTTTGACATAGTACTTACTCACTGTAAGAATTTATCTTTTCACAATTCAATAAAACATATAAGTGTGCTTTGGTATGTTCATGCATTGATAGCCATCGAGACTTATCTTATGGACCTAATGCTCGTCAAGATGAGTAAAAATAAAAAAAATAATTGTTAGATTCCATGACTCTCCCATCATTTACGTAAAACTCGATTCAATCTTGTTGATACATTTGGATCAAAATATAATGAGCAACAAATGGATATCTTCTTCATAACATATACCTTATATATAGATGTTTCAACAAATGCTTAAATGGTGCTTTTTTTTTTTTTAGATAATGAAGAAACGTAGTCATCATCATAGCATAACATAACAAAAATGTTATTGAGAGGAACTTAAATTAATAAATTTTAATGTCTAACAACTAAAATATATTACTTTTTATATGGATACATCCATCGATAATGAACAAATCCATAAATTTTTACCTCGTTAAGCACATGAATTGGCAAATGTTCCATAAAATCAAAGAAACCTAGAGAAAATTTTATTTTTAATTTGTAGATTATTTCTACAATTTTTTTATTCAATACTTCTATATGATTTACATGTAGTTCAGTAGAATATAGATATATAAAAAAATGAAATAGCTTAGTAATTGCATCCTAAATAAAGTTAGGCACCAAATCACGAAAGGCAATTAGGAGCAATCATTGTATGAAAACATGATAATCATGACGTTTTATGCCATAAAACTTGCAATTAGCCATATTTATACATTGAGCTATGTTAGATGTAAAACTATTATGAAGCCTTAATTATTTAACTTATGCACAAACATCTTTTTTTTTGCTTTTTGCTTAAAGCATAAGAAGCTTTAGACATGAAAACTCTCATTTCTTTCAATCAATTTTAACTCAGGATGCTTGTAATACACTTTAAGATCTAATCTAGCTTTTATGTTGTCTTTGATTTTGCCTTTAACATCCATCATTGTGTTAAATACATTGTTAAAGATATTACGCTCAATATACATCACATCATGATTATACCAAAATAAGATTGGTATGTAAATATCGAGGATGATCACATACCCAATAATATATCAAATTTACTGTTTTCTTTTAAAACAACAAGCAATTATCTTCACATATATAAATTTTTTTATAATCAAGTCTAAGTTTCATCATCTTTTTTTTTTTATTTTATAGAAGTTTTTTGGTAATTATCATCCACCAATAACATATCTTTCATTATATTCATCAGACAATCAAAACATAACCCATTCATTAAATTTTGATTTACAATTTAAAAGTTACAACATAGCAGATATGATTATATGCTTTGTACAACTTGATCACAATGGTTCATCCGTATCATTTAATAAAAAATAAAAGCTTACCATGTCTACATTCAGATTTTCTTATTCAACTCTTGCACCACTAGTATGAGAAGTATCCACCCTAAAATCAGGATAGATAGCATCTTTAACCATTCTAGTATACGAATTTTCTAAACCTACTTCACTAATCAATTCAAAGGTATCCCTACTTATTGATGGTTATCTTATTTCTAACTTTTCATATGATACCCAACTCATATAACCACAGGTAAATTTCTTATAATAAAGGTGCTCACATATAGCATCCACATTTAAAGATCATCTGTTCTCACATTGCGTACAAGGGTACCTGATCTTTTCATTACTTACAAAGTATGGTTCAGAATAAATATATCCAACAAATTCTTCTACACCATCATAGAAGTTTTGACTAATGTATCCATTTATATCTAAATATGAATACATCAAAAGTGACTTTTGTACATTTTTCAACCCTAATTGCATTATGATAAAGGTCTAAAAAATATTACTCTTAGTGTAATAAACTGAAAATAAGCAATTAAAGTCTTAAAAAGCAATTACAAAATTTTAACACATAAATGCACGCCCCATATGTTTTGGAGGTGTGTACATGAATAAAAGCTCAAAAGTCACATAGTTTGAATTGATAGTTTTATAAGCAATAAGAATAAATTATTTTGACACAAATTCTTCAATACAAGTACATATGCAATAATATATTGTTTATCGTTAGACATTAAGATTTTACTTTTCAACATAAGTAGACACATTCCATCTTTAGATTATATTTCATCCATGGTCCATTGGAAACTTCATCTTTAGATTATATTTCATCTTAATATAATCTTTAGATTATATGATAACTTGTCCCAATTAAAACCATATTTGGGCTTGGCTCTATTGCTCTAGTGGTATGATAAGGAAAAAGTGAGACTAAAGATATTTGAAAAAAGAAAAAAAAACAATTAAGGGAAGAAAAGTATAATCACTACCAATATTTGAAATCTTTTAACTCTATACTTAACACTTGAGTTTGAGATAAATAAAACTCTTAAGTATGCTTTTGTTCAAGATAAACGTGGCATAAGGTAATAAAATTTGGACGTATTTATTTGATTAGTGTGACATTTTGTTTGATTTTCCATTTGTTTGACAATTCTAATCTTAGGATGGGTAGAGTTGATTAAGATGTGATTTTCAAAGTAGGTCACTCCACTAGTAAAAATTAAAAAAAAAAAACATCAATCATCATCTGTCATTAACAATAATTGTTTGTCATCTTTTACTAGTTGGCA